AAAAAAAAAAAATCTGTCACTACTTCTGTTTTGGCACAACTTTAGAGATGTTACTATTTTCCATATTTTTTAATATACATGCTTAGTTCTTGTTTTGTTTGTTTGGGCCCTTACTAAACTATGTTTGGAGCTCCTCCCCAAACGAAAGCTCAACTGTCTCTAAACACAGCCCAAAGATAGCACACATCTGGTTTAAGCAGCATTCCTAGTTTAGGATGACAGCACACATCACAGCAACAATGTCTCATTCATCACACTAGGATGGTGTCCAACAGCAGACCCAGTGACAGACAAAGCACTGCTCAAAAAAGGGGGTGGACGTTGAGGTTGGAGGGGCATGCATAGAGATTTGCAGTTCATTGGTTAAGCGAAACACCAATCTCAGTGTCTGACTTTCTGTTCACTTTCTGTTCATATGACCTGGAGAGAAACAGTGTCTTGGAAGATATCTGAAATGGAATGTATTTCTTTCTGGTGTTGGTGATTTGGGAATACAGGATCTAACAGTCTTTTGCTGTGATTTTACACTACAGGAAGCCCACTCTTTACAAAATGGGGGTGAAAGATCGCCCTCAGTGCTATTTTGATGTGGAAATCAACAGGGAACCAGGTAAGATGTGACCGTGATTTTTATTGGGTTGTTCTGAAATAGTCTTGTGTAAAGGTCAAACTGTTAAAAGTAGAAGTTTTGATAGAAAAATGCTTCAAATGTTTGCTTTTAGATTACTATTCATGTATGTTTGGCTTTCTATGGTTTTCAAGATCACTTTTCCAACTACAAAAATCATGTTTAGTAATGCAAAAAGTCTATAAAAGGGGGTCAGATGGGTGATCTTTATCGTAGTACCATGTGGTATAATCTGAAATGATCAAGTTTTTAAGTTTTAATAAAAGGTAAATATTTAAGCCAGTTGTAAACATCTAATAGCGAAAGTGAAACATTATATTTGTATGTTTTGTAAAGCACTTTGGTAATGGCAGTTCAAATACCTGCGCCAGTGTGTGAGAAGCTGTTGTGGCAGTCCACACCCTGACCTGCAGGGCTCTTTTAATGAACCACAGATGTAGTGTGCACTAAATAACGTCTGGGTTTCACCTCAGTCTACCACTAATTATGTGTTTTTAAGAGAGATGTCTGCGTCATAAAACCAAGACCTCTTATTTAGTGATTTTACACCCATTATTGTACAAAGCAAATGTTTTAACACCCTGTTTATATTCATTTTATTGCTTATAAATGAAATAGATAAAACTAGCTTCATGTACTATGCAAAAACACACTTAAATTTGAATGCTTTTGTATTTGAATATGAAGGAGCTGTTGTCGTTTGCCACGCTGAAGTCAGCCTGAAAGTTATAGCCTATAAGTTGAATTACAAAAGTCACACTAATCTAATAATGGCTTTCTTTAAGCAAGCTTAAAACTTTCACACAAAACATACAGGTGGCTTTAGGTACAATGCAAAAGCACACCTAAATTTGAATGCGCCTGTATTTGAATATGAAGGAGTGTTGTCGTTTGCCGCACTGAGGTTAATCTGAAAGTTACAGCTCTTTAATTGAATTGCCATAGTCACACTAATCTAATAATGTCTCTTTATCAGCAAGCTTAAAACTTATAGAGGACATAGAGGTGTAAGGTTTCTGATCCATGAGTATAATGATTTCTTTTGCTTTCTTCCAGTTGGACGAATTGTCTTTCAACTGTTCTCCGATATTTGTCCCAAGACAAGCAAAAATTTTCTTTGCCTGTGCACTGGTACGTACAGAGTCAACCTTGAATCTTTCAGAGGTTTTATCTAAAAATAAACTATAAAAACCTGATATAGGTTTTTAAATTGCTCTTTTATACTATTTCACCTTGTTAATCGCAATGAAAATAGCCAAGGAAGCTGGCATGGCATTAAAGCGCCAACCAACCTTTATATAATACCCATTCATGTCCACTTATACAAGCATAAGCTTATAGGGTAATAGCACAAAAATAAACCTAGAGGTGACTAAAACCTGGCTGTATAACGACAAGTGCAGGTGTTTTGCTGACAGCACTGAAGAATGAACCAAAGCTGTATTTACAGCCTGTTCCTAGAAGACAAAAGCTGCATTGGTCTGCATTGAGAAGGTTTGGTCATAAATTACAGTTAGTAATGCTTTGGGTCAATGCGGGGATCTTTTTTTCTCACCAACTGAGATTGAAATGAGAGACACATGCCTTCAGCTGACTGTTGTATCGAATATATACCAATCCCCAGGGCACACAC